TAAGACAAGGAAGTACCAGACGCAAGAAATATCGTCATATCGCCGAAGATATATGCAAATCGTAATTCTGATAAGTGATAGACGTACTTTGCTTACACCAGTGTACCGATTTGTCAATATGTAATTCGTTTCAGAATTCTATTGTCTTCTGTCGTAACACTACTATTATATTGCTAAAAGTAAACATGCGATATGTAATTTCAACCGTTTCAAGTGGCTAAATAAGATTTTGATTGCTATAGATTACATTAACAATCAAATTTACTCGAAATGCTACACTTTATCGCTGCCACATTTTTTTTAAAAATGTAACAAATTCCAGTGAAACTGTATTCACCCCTAGTTTACCTATCGGTCATTATTACCACACACACATTACAACAGTGACATCATTGTTTGTAATTACACATCTACTAGAAGTGAGCACTCACCTTCTATCGATATAAGTATAAAACTTGGGCACTGTGGTAGAGTATAATTCCATTATAGATAAGATTTTATTTTGATAAATCGCACAGTGTTTACAGTTATATGAACTGATGACGTTTCGAGCACAAACTATTGCTCATAATCATATCAAGTTACTCACACAACTTTGATCTCTCATTTATATACATGTGTGGAATGGATTAGATATTGGATTAAAAATCAATGTGAGATAATGTACATTCAGAAATAATCGTACGAGTGTTGTTGATCAATTGCAATTAGATGGGAAAATTGGACGAGTGTTTTTACAGTCATAATAAGCTGCTTGTTAGAATGTGTTTGAATTGAAATAGAATTTTAAGATTATTTATGATTTCTTCTGGTTTGACTGATGGCATTAATACGAGTGTTATTGATCTACTAAATCAGATGGAAATACGAAGTGTTTTAATAGTCATAATAAGTTTTTTGTTAGATGTTGTGATGTGTTTGAATGAAATAGAATTTTAATATTATTTATTACCCTCTTCTGATTTGACCTGCGGTAATAATATCTTCCATATCTCTGGTATTTGCATTGAGTCATTTTTGTTGCATGTGTTGGGTGTGGACTCGATAATAAGGTTAAATTCTCATAGCATAACTTAGAAAAAACCTAAATAATGAATAAAACAGATAGAAGAAGCGTTGGTGTTGAATAACTATCCTATAAAATTCATTAGGAAGATCAGCAAAAACCAAAAGCAAAATAAAAATAATGGTGAAACTATTAATGATAACACAAATAAGAAAGAATATAAGTCATCCACTGTTATTCCATATAAGAAAAGGACATCTGAGGCCCTACGTAGGATTCTTAATAAAGCAGGAATTAGGGTGGCATTCAAACCTACAAACTCACTCAGAGACAAGCTCTGTAGGCTAAAAGACCCGGTGGATCCAATTAAACAAAATAATATAATTTACAAAATACCCTGCAATAACTGTGAGGTCAACTACATAGGTCAAACTAGTAGGTCAGGGATAGTCAGATTAACAGAACATAAGAATTTAGCTAAGGTAAGAATGGTTGACCCTGAAAAGATAAGTAATTTAGAAAAAAGCTCAGCTATTGCACTTCATGCATTAACAAACAACCACACAATAGGGTAGGATAGGGTTAAAATTCTAAAAAGTAATATAGCTAAGTGGAGAGAGAGGTTGATTACGGAATCCTTATTTATCGAGTCCACACCCAACACATGCAACAAAAATGACTCAGTGCAAATACCAGAGATATGGAAGATATTATTACCGCAGGTCAAATCAGAAGAGGGTAATAAATAATATTAAAATTCTATTTCAATTCAAACACATCACAACATTCTAACAAAAAACTTATTATGACTATTAAAACACTCATCGTATTTTCCATCTGATTATAGTAGATCAATAACACTCGTATTAATGCCATCAGTCAAACCAGAAGAAGATCATAAATAATCTTAAAATTCTATTTCAATTCAAACACATTCTAACAAGCAGCTTATTATGACTGTAAAAACACTCGTCCAATTTTCCCATCTAATTGCAATTGATCAACAACACTCGTACGATTATTTCTGAATGTACATTATCTCACATTGATTTTTAATCCAATATCTAATCCATTCCACACATGTATATAAATGAGAGATCAAAGTTGTGTGAGTAACTTGATATGATTATGAGCAATAGTTTGTGCTCGAAACGTCATCAGTTCATATAACTGTAAACCTTCTATCGAGTTTTTAAAAAAATTTGATTACTAGTAGCTGAATAACTAAAGCCATCTATAATGAAAATATAATCGGCATAATTTGAACCATAAAGATGGATTACTTCAGAATATAACTCCAGAAGAATTACTATTAACTCCTCAAGTTCCAAGATGAACATACGGCTTTAGTGACACATCTGCATCCCCCTAAGTTCTCACTTATCACTTTCAGCTGACTCCACGAGTGCCCACAAGCCTTCATTTCCTCTCAGCATAATCTTCTTCATGATTCCTTTGAATGCCAAAACCATCGCTTTCCATAGGGGTTTCATTCAATTACATGGTGTGCAAAATCCCTTGAAGGCTTCCTCAGTATTTCTGCGATGCAACTACATCTCACCCGCACATCTGTTGGCAAGCATTTTATTGACTTGTTCACTACCAGAATTATTTGCTCCTCACCCTTTCCGACTGGCCATCTGATCATTAGTATACGGAAAAGGCATCTATTGTTGAAAGTCCACAGGCTGTTGGAAATGCCTCTGATGACGCGCTAATTCTGTTGACCATACAGATGCATTGATCCTGCTTGTTGTGCTAAGTAACTAGTATTGAAGACCCTCACACTGATTTCAAAGTAGGGAAAGCTTGTCTGACTTTCTGTTTCTTATTTGGTTTTTATATCCTTATCCATGTTGCCAGTAACTGGAACAGTACCATCGAGATAAAACAACTGTGGGATCAAACAAGTATACCAACAAAAAATCACTCTAAAATAGTAACAACTAAATACTTAAATATTAATAGACAGTTTGATATTGATAGGATTTGGAGCATGATATCTGAATGAAAACACAAAAAAGTAGAATAAACTTAATCGACGGATCAAGCTGTCAAAATGAACGACAAGGATATACTGAAGGACAAAATATGTTTAGGATCAGATCTCCACACTGGCAACCACCCGGTTAAGAATTCCTCCAGATAAATCACTCTTATTCAAGTTGAGTTGTTACCTAAATTTTGGATTACCTTAGAAGTACATATGTCTCTCTGATGAGTATAAGTAGGCGAAACATGTAGGTCCATAGCTATTTAAGAAGCAACGTCGCCTAATGTAGTGACCAAAACCCACGCGTTGTAGTGTGATCGCAGCAAATCAATCTATGCTTTCTGTTGTATAGCTAGCCTGCACTACCTTAGGTTACACACAGTCACAAAATGCCCCAGTGGAAGCAAACGAAAATTATTTGAGATAAAATCTATGGTACCATTTAAAAATAATAACATCAGAAACTCGAAATCAACTCAGCAATGCCATTAGGCAGCTATATAGGTCAAATAGATTTCCAGTACAAAACAAGTACTGTGGTTAACCAGAATTCAACCATAAGAAGTACTAGAGAATCAAGAAGAATGTTCTTAACAAGGTGGGATCAAGACCCTGCTAGCACCAAGCAATTCTAGAAGACGACCCAAGGTTAGAGTGAAATTGACTTACTCAAACAAAATCTCCCAGTCGTAAAATAACACATTATCAATATCATCAAACAACCATAAATAGAAGCACTAAGAATTAGAGACCAAACAGAAACAAAGGCAAATAATAAGGACTAAGTCGGTGGCACAGCGGTTAGGACGCTCGCTGACCATGCACATGGTCCGGGGTTTGATCCCCGGTTGCCAACGGACTCCTTTACCTCATTTATCCATTAATAAGACTGGTAAAGAGGGAAAGTTGGGCATGAGGCTAGCAACCCATCCTGTAAAAATAAACAGTGCTACAGAAACTTCAAGCCACTAGCTTGAAGCCCTATGTTCCACTGGGAACGTGAAGGAAGTAAAAAAAAGTCAACAGATGATGTGCGAAGGTCAGAGCAGTTATTCCGGTACACCTAATACATAAATAAAAGTACTGGTGTTCTGTGCGCTCAACCACAAGTTATTCGGTAGTGCCTTGTTTATCTTGCTTTGATGAAACTGTTTTCAACAGATAGATTATATGACATTGAGTATTCAAAAATGTTTAAAAAATGGGAGGAACCTGAAAGAAACTACCTCCTTTACCTACCTGGGAAGCATCGTTTCAACTACAGAAGAACGGAACTGACGAGGATATCAAAGCAAGAATCGGAAAAGCAAGACAAGCTTCCATTACTCTCAAGTCTGTGTGGAGGTCAACAGCACTCAGCATCAAAAATAACATCCGGACTTTCAACTCCAATGCGAAGTCAGTGCTACTCACTATACGGATCAGAGACGACGCGTCATAAAGAGCATCTCAAACAAGCTTCAGACCTTCATTAACAGTTGTCTTCGCTCAATACTCAAGATCACATGGCCAGAAAAGATCAACAACAGGGAACTCTGGCAATGAGTGAACCAACCCAGCAGGAACCGATTGTGCAAGAAATAGGCAGGAAGAAATGGAGATGGATTGGCCATACTCTGAGAGAGAAACCATCAAGTGACATCACTAGACAAGCCATCGCTCGAGTGGAACCCGAAAGGGAAGCGGCGAGTTGGTCATCCAAGGATGACTTGGAGGAGGTGATGTGAAAAGAAGATGAAAACGTATGGGCAGACTTGGAACCAGGTGAAAACTCTAGCAAAGAACCGAACGCAATGGAAACGTGCGGCTGAAGTCCTATGTTCCTCTAGGAATTAATGAAAATAATAATAATCAGGTGCTGATTTATGCCAATGTAATTAATTTCTTAACTTGAATGATGTATATGACAGTTACTAAAGTATATTTTGGTTCTGTATTCAGCGCTTAGGACTACTGATATTTGGTACTTATTTACTGTATACTTATTTTTCTCTTGTTTAGTGATAAACATAGAACAAGCTAAGAAACTACACACTTCTGTTCGTTTATTGTGCTACATCAATACAATACCTAAAACGCATAAAACTAAAGCTATGCATGTGAAAAATAGTTGGGCAAAACGGTGTACAAAATACTTATTTATGAGTAGTAAAAGCGATGATGAACTACCAACTGTTAGTAAGTTTATTAAATTGCGGAATATTTATTGTTAATGTCAACGTGTTATGAATTCTCATATATTATTCATGTTTGTCAGTGTGTTTATTTTATCTGCACCGAATAACAAGTATCCTTTCTGTTATATCCTCATCAAGGTCCCTGTATTACACCTAACTGTATATTTGTGTAGGTGCAATTATACTGTAATTCAAGTGTTGGTTTGCAGGGATTTGATTGGTTACAGGATTTCATCATGAGCTGACACTGGTTAGAGAACCACCGGAAAACCTGGGAGTACTCGACAGTTGTTTCATCCTGATATGGGACTCTTCAGCAGTACGCTCCCATCGGGGTTCGAACCCAGAATCTTCCAGTTACTATCAGATTAATTGTGTGAAATTTTGAATGCAATGAAATGTATTTTTGTGAAACCCTGCCTCTTTATATTGTTAAGCCTAAACTGTACTTGGCATAAATTTAGATGTTTTAAAACTTTACAATAATTTCATCAGCTGTTGATTTTTTGAACTGAAAGTAATCAGCATTTTGTTAAGTTATTCAAAAGACGTAGGGTTATTAGTGAACTAGTGTAACAACAGAAGACATGGGCCAGGCAACAGATCGTTTATTATGGGAATCAACACATATTTATAGATTTTCATGTGCATATTATAGATTATTGTTAGCAGAAAAACACAGTCCTCTGATTGGTTGTTACTCACAGTAAGTTAACCTTTTATCTCTTTGTGGGTGTTTCTTGAATGTCAGATCATCTATATGTTAACTGTATCCGCCTACGCAAAGACTTTCTTCTCATTTTTCTCACGGCCAATATTCGGGACATAAACATTGACGTAAATTACTGTCCACCAACTTTAGCTAACAGCCAGCTCCCACCACACTAGTATTTCGATACATTTATTCTATTGTATTTGGAAAAACTGGCGACATGTAGTTTCTGTTAAGTCATCCTTTGTCATAACAAGAAAGCATTTCCATCCAACAGTGTCACGTTATCCTAAGGGGGTTATCACCTTCTAAATTAATATTTTTTTATTTCAATATTTACAGTTTTGACACATAAACTTAAAATCAGTATTTTATTTCATCTCATGGTAATTAGAATTATTAATAGGAATATGATGAGAAATCCTAATGAAGGATGAAGCAAGCACCATAATATTCTTTGAAGTAAACCATCTTTTCTTATAGAATTGTAAGTCTAACGAAATTTTTTAATCCTCATCTCCATGGCTAATAGTACTTCGTTTTTATACCTTTAATTCAATGATAAGAAATCTCTCGTGGATAGTATATGAAAAAAAATGCATTTTCACTTCTCAGCGAGGACTAATTTTACATATTCGAGACATTTAAAAAGCGTTCACGGTGTAGAGCTATACAAAGCAGGTTATGAAGTCATCTAGACACTGGGATATGACTACATGCAATAAACTGTTAGAAGACCATCCGGCTAACAGTACAATACAACTATATAGCTTTGTAACGTGTGGTACTGACAAGATTTATAAGTAGTATATAGACACAAACATAAATATGTACATCATCTCCAAGAATATCGAATAGTTGAGAGATAGATTTGATGAACGATGCTTGTGGAAAAATATGGAAACCTGAAGGAAGACGAAGAAATACAATAGGAAAGACAAAGCAGCAAAACACCGGAGATACGTGCAAATTGTGATTCTACTATATCCAGATGTATTTTGCCTAAATCTCTTACCGAATTCTGTCTTCTGTCGTTGCAATATATCAAACTAATTGATTTCTTTCTTTTATTTTCTAGAGTTCTGAATGTAACGTGTATCTTCAAGCTTTAAATTTTGAACAATTGTAGCATTTATATACCATGTATGGTTGTTAGCCTCACTCACCACTTTCTCTCCTTTCTTGCTTCATAAAATCTAGTAAACTAGGCTGGGTTTAGGAGTGTGTCAGTTGGGGATCGAACCCGGACTCTCCACGTGACTGATGAGCATTCTAACATTGAACAATCAACACAAAACACTATCTGACATGAAATTTGTTCCTATCTAACACAAGATGAATGATTTTATTCGATACAAACACTCAGTGAGACAGTATTATTTACTGATGACATCTGGAGCACAATTTATTGTTCATAATCATATAAACGTCTTCATATTAAATAAAATTATTTTGTTGTGGAATAAAACTCCACTACATTTTCTAGATTCTACTATTAAATCGACGTTCTGCATATTCCTCACTTCTGCCATTCGATAGTGTTATATGAATGCAAAAAACCTACAACTCTGAAACAAATCAAAGTTTAGAAGTGTCATTTACAAGACAGACTGCCTAGGAGTAGTGGACCGCTGTTTCGTCCTAGTTTGGGACTCTTCGTCAGTACGCACCCACAACAGTGGTTCGAACCCAGGACCTTCTGGCTATAAGGCCAGCGAGCTGGTAGACAATCATGCCACTGGGACCCGATCTCTAACTGATGTAAGCTCATGATTAAATCCTCCAAACAATCAAACAAAATCCCCACAAAAACCAGTTCTTGAAAATATGCTGCCTAGTTTTTTTAAATTTGTTCATCAGTGTTCCTAAATACCCTTTCAATGTGGCAAATGAAATTTATTTGGATCTTAATAGTGAAACAGTTATAGAGACATGAGACAGTTACTCTCGCATATTAACAGGAGACTCTGAACTAATACCGCGGGAAAACAGACAACTTAAAGAATAGCCTAAGTGCGATTACGTTTTGCAAGAATTTATTATACTGTACGAACATTGAATGATTCCAATAGATGAATGTATTTTCCAGTCTACTCTCTTGAAAGACAATTAATAATACCCACCTTATTTCAGCTTTGACCTATATTTTTTCCCTGGTCACATGAACGAAACAGCTTCAGCTCTCACTTATTGAACTTGTTTTCATGAGTTCAGCATGCTTACCACGAATACTACACCAGTCATCACAATGTCTTATGGAATTAGTTTTCGAATACTTCAGAACTACTGCTAGGTAATGCACAATATATCTTCATCCACACTTTGATGTTTAGAACTGATCTTGACCAAAATTTATTCTGTATTTATCTGATGCACCAACTGATATTTAGAGGAGCACAAAGATTTTGCGTAATATGGGTTTATTTAGCCCTGAAGTACAATGATCACTTAGAAAATTGGATAACAAGCTTGAAAGCAATGTTGGTGTATATTATTTATTCAGCACAAGTTTCGGATGAGGTAATTTATTTTTGCATGATGACATATGCTACCGACTGGTTGATAAGATTAGTTGGATATCCCAAACATCAGCCGGTAGTGCTTGTTAGCTAGATTGAAGTGATCTCACTAGCAGCTCACTCGGTTTTGATGTATGTCAAACTGGCCAAATTTCGTGTTCCGGTAATCTACTTTTGTAGTTTTATGTTACAAAATAGTAAAGCTGCTCTAAAGCAGATAGCATTAATTTCAAAATCAGTTTCACATACTTACATACAGTTAAGTCAGTCTTTCGAAATGACATAACATTCCTTTCTAACATCTGATTGTTTTTTATCATGATTTTTTTAAAAGAAAATATTGTCTCTGTTTCAACTTGAATCAAACCCCTTTTCTTGATTTCATTGTCTTTTGCCTTATATGCAGAGTTAAATCTAAGCTATCCGGAAAGTCGTAAACACTTATGGAGTAAAATGCGAGCTATTCTTCGTTATGTTTATCAATATCGAAACGACTATGACTACTTCCTTAAAGCAGACGATGATACTTTTGTAGTGATAGAGAACTTGCGATCTGTTCTCAGTCGACAAAATCCGAATGATCCATTTATGATGGGTTATAATTTTCCAGTAAGTTATTTTACTTTGTCAGTTTTTAAATCACACAATATAAATGCTACTTATGTGTGTATAGAATTCTTTTGAATACCTAATTTTCAAAACTTTAAATACAATAGTTCAAGCTGAAATAGAATCTTGAATTATGATAGGATTCAGTAACTTGATAAAAATATACACTGAGATGGAGTGTCATTTATTTAATCACAATGTTTTGTTTAAGTAGCATTATTTGCTGATGGAATTACACTACCAAAATATCCAAATTCTATTCTTATATCAACTTTAGTTTCATGAAGGATTTACGAAATAACTGCATAATTTTTGTTTGTAATTGTTTCGTATTTTCATATTTTAGAAGCATTTTAGTTAGTCATTGGATAAAGTTAACTACTTCACAGAATATACTGCTAAATATGTCAGTGTATTCGAGTTTTTCCCAATTTTAAGTATACTTAGCATGCTACATCTTTTGTCAAGAATGCTTATCATAAAATATCCTCAAACATGATTGTAGTAATTATTTATAATCGTAGTATTAGTATTTCGAGATGACCGAATTACAAGAATCCAACCAAAACACAGAGAGGGCGGAATCCAGGAATTTGTATTTAGCGGAATTCTTATGCAATTCATATAAGAAACATATTAACAATCAACAGTAAGTGTTTAAACAATACAGAGACAGAAATTGTCAATCACCACATCCGCCACACGTCGAATATCTCCTTGCATATTTATAACGATGTCCCGGTTTGCTTGCAAGTAGCTGCGACCTTCTAACTGATTCTGTGATATTATTTTCATCAGTATTATCTGAACTTATTTCTGAATTATCTACAAAATCAGGATTAGTAACGGAATCATTACAATTATAATCGGAACGACCTACTTCATTTATTCTCACTTGATCCAAGTGTCTGTTATGAACTGAGTGATCTTTGATGTCTAATATCCTCACCACTCGATTTCCCATTTTTTGTAGTATAATTCCAACAGAAGGTCTATAGTCATTCCCTTTGTAATAATGTACATTAGAAGTCGTGGACATCAGATGCTTTCTGAGAATTCGAGATTTAAATGGTTTTGCAGGACTTTCACGGGTACTTGTATGCTCTGCATTCGACAGACGCAGTCTATGCATATGCAGTAATTCCTCAATTTTAATCAGTTGCTCTCTCATCTCATTCAGGTCTTTTCGTGTTTTCGACAGTTCACATTGTAACTCGGCTACCTCATTTTTGAAAACAGTTGATGCTTGAGTTGCTGAACTTGTAGTGGAGGTTTTCATTGGATGAGATTGAGTATTTTGAAAAGTTGAAAGACACATTGACTCCATTTTACTAGACAGATTGGGAGAATTATAAGAATTCTGAGTAACATAAGTATTCGAACTTCTGCAAACAGTCTTGATGTGTCCAACTTTACCACATTTGTGACACTTAGCACCCCGAAAACGGAAAGTGCTTCGTAGATGTAACTTTCCACAGGAAAAACACGGTTTAATGTTTTTGATCTCTCGCTGCATTCTATTACCTGTGGACGGCAGTTTGGATTGCTTTCCATGAACACTTGTATTTTCGACTTTGGACAACATGACATCAGATACTGACGTAGTGGGAGCAGAGTATTCACTATTGACATCTTCATATGTAATACATAAATCTTTAGCAGTTTGAAAGGTACAAGAAGGAATCTGAATTAACTCTTTCTCTAACTTAGGAATATTGATTCCAGCAATTAGACGATCACGTAGTTGAGTATGCAGCTGATCTCCAAAGTTACACTTTGAAGCTTGTATTTGGAGTTGCAGAATAAAGTCTCTTATCTTCTGATTGGGAGCACGAACCAGTTTATTGAATTGAGCCCTCTCTCTGGTCTCAAATGTAGTTACATGAAAGTGATTTATCAGAAGTTCACGAATCTTGACATATGACAGAGAAATAAGTTTATCTGGAAACGCCAGATTCTTCACTAGGCTATATGCATCTAGCCCAATAGCAGTGATGAAATGTGCTGGTATTTTGTCATCCCGAACGTTCTTTGAAATGCACCACGCATCGAAGCATTCAAGGTAATCAGCAATCTCCCGCGGAGAACCATTTATAGGAAATTTTCCAAGGTTATTTAGTTCCATCGCGACGCCAATTTGTTGTAATTATTTATAATCGTAGTATTAGTATTTCGAGATGACCGAATTACACGAATCCAACCAAAACACAGAGTGGGCGGAATTCAGGAATTTGTATTTAGCGGAATTATAATGCAATTCATATAAGAAACATATTAACCATCAACAGTAAGTATTTAAACAATACAGAGATAGAAATTGTCAATCACCACATTGATGCAAATTTATTCACTCTCTCTCTCTCTGTGTCTCTCTCAGTATATTACAAAAAATGGATATTTCTCTGGAGGTGCAGGTTATGTTCTGTCAAGAGAAGCACTGAAGCGTATAGTTGAACAAGCCATTGATAAACATCCAAATTGTCCAAAGTATGATGAAGATAAAGAGGATGTAAAAATGAGTAAGTTTCTGGGTAGAATTATAGAATTGAAGATAGTAATTCCATGTGGGTTTATTACATTTATATATCCTGTTTTCAGCGAAGCCCTTGAAATAAAGACAGTTGTAGGATAAGTCTGCCTACTACCAGCGACGATACTTATGATTGTGATGAAGTGGATCATGAGACACTCTTTGGGGGAGCAAGAAGTCAGGTGTACGTTGAACCAACGAGAACATAGTGCAGAATGTGGATGATTTATGTCCTATGTATCACAAACTGTATACACAGGCGAAAATCAACAATTTGGCAGAAATAGCAGCCAAGACACGAATTCAGGTGATGAGGTGATGAAAATATCTAACGAACGACAACACTCATCGATTACCATCAAAAGGCGAAAATCAAAGGAAATCACTTCTACCACCTATCTGGGCAGCATCACTTTAACGACTGGTGGAGACACCTACAAGGATATCAAATGCCGAATAGGAAAGGCAATACAAACCTTCATTAATTTAAAATCAGCTTGAAAATTCACTGCATTCAGCGTAAGGAATAGGACCTAAATCGCTAACACTAGTGTCAAGTTGGTGCTACTACATGGCTTATTGACTTGAAGCATGCGTCATCAAAAGCAGTTTCAGTAACTTAATTCGGACTTCCATCAGCAACTGACTTCGCTCCATTCTAGAAGTCAAGTGGCCAATAAGGATTAGTAACATCAAACTCTGGCAGTGAACTGTTCAAGAGCCCATCGCCCAACAAATATGTGGGAAGAAATGAAGATGAATTCGATATACAATGAGGTGACATTCAGGTGATACTAAGCGGAAAGCAGGCCCTCAACTGGAACATGAGTGGCAAACGACGAGTTGAGCCTAAGTTCTTGAGTCGCCTAGAGGAGATCATGTGGGGAGAAGATGAAAACTAATGGACGATGGTGAATTCAGCTGAAAAAGACGTGCAGCTGAAGCTCTATGTTCCATCAGCAACCCAAGGGAATAATAATATACAAAATCTCCATTTAGACATTTAGAAAACAGAAAGATTGAGCGAAGAAATATTTACTTTTCAATAAAATACTCATCTCTGGCTCTACTGTAATATGCACAGCATTTTAATTACAATAAAACAGTTTGCCAATCAAGCGGAGATAAGTTTGTTAACAATAGTTAAACAGTGTCAAAATGTCAATGGGTTAATAATTAACAAAAGAAATTTAGTGAAGACTCTCAGCCACAGAGTTAGAGCTATATGCTCAGAAGAAGTAATTGAAGATGAATTAAGCTTTGTAAATGATACTTTGATTGAAAATGGCTATCCCGACAGATTTATCAAGAAACACATGACAAAGAAAGAGGAAAAGGACTACTCACTATCTGTATACAAGAAGCCTCTTTATATACGACTACAATTCAAGGGCGATATACCAAGCAAGATAATTGCGAAGAAATTAAGAAAATCAGTTCAGAGAACTTTTAATGCTGGCGAACTACACGTATTATTCTCCACACGACCGATAGTGATTCCTCGACTGAAAGATGAAGTACCTAGACTAGCCAGCCACTCCTAATTGTATCTATCAATTCAACTGCGCTTGTGGAGCCAGTTATACTGGCCGTTGCTCTAGGAGCTTGATTTTTCGTGTTCGAGAACATCTCCCAGCATGGCTGAGTGAGGGTGTAGTGAAAACTATTAACAGCTCGATATTGGAACATCTGGTGCCAGTGTAGATGAATCCTTCTCTATATTATACCGGATGCCAAATAAATTACTAAAAACATTGAAGCACCTCAGGCTCCAAACAGCAGAGGCTATTGCGACTCGCCTCAAACAACCAACGCTCTGTATCCAAAAGAAGCAAGTCCAGCCCCTACTATTGCCCTGGCTTTCAGTAGAAACTATAAACTCATGAATTCGTACTATTATCTTTCCTAATTCTTCTGACATTCAGCTTATTTTATGTTGATGTGATTCAGCTGTAATCTATCAATATTATTGATTCAATGTTATTTAAACAACATTATTGTCGTTCATAATAGTAAATTATTCATTCACCATAATGTATACATAAGTGTAGAGCCTGATGATGAATTTATCGACAAGAGTACTCTTTGTTCAATATCCATTCTTTTAAAAACTTAATGGGCATTTTTAATCAGTTAAACTGTTGTATTGTAATAAAAATGCTATATATATTAGAGTAGAGCCAGATATGAGGATCTAATTGAAAAGTAAATATTTTTTCGTTCAATCTTTCTGTTTTAATAATATACATCCAACTATTTTTATGGATTTTGTCCGAGTAAGAATAAATAAATACAAATAGACCAGTTAATAAGTTCGTTCTATTTCAGTGTTTTTATCTTCAGTGAAGCTCCAATTGAAGTCGTGATCATTACACTAAATAATGTTCCAGTAAGTTGTGTATTTTAATGGCTTAAAATAAAGCTCCTGTCAATGTTAAGAGCAGCTTGATTTAAAGAGAAAACATAACATCAAATGATCAGAAAGTTACACTTTACTTGAAATGTCAGTAAAAGAATTAGTTAATTAGTTGTAGAGTACGAAATGCGAACAAACTGTCTGGTTTAATGGTCGCTTAGCTCCAATTAGACTAGACATTTGAAAGTTTTGATGAGGTCGAATTAAAAAAACAAATTACCATTCAAAATTCGTGTAAGTGTAGCGCTTTGGTACTGTGTCAAAATTTAATTCCATAATAAATGAGTTTATCTGATATAACACACAGTTATACCACCTCTGAAACACGCTTTATCCAGCTACTAATACTGCCTCACTGTGTCTTATATCAAATAAACATAATTAAAATGGTATTCAAAATTCACTCCTGCAACAGTTGTGTAACTTTCCTGTCTAAAACATCCAAAGATCAATTTATTTATGACTTCAAATGCTTTTTGTTCTCCTCTAACAATGTTTGGACTGACTCAAATTGTGGATGTAGTTTTTTCTGAAACAAATGAATTCCTATGAAAATGCTAAGACCCTAAAATGTTAACATGCACTAAGTTCTGAAAGTGGGTTAAAACATTAGTCTTCATCTCTGCAACTAAGTGTAGTTGAATTCAGTAATACCTCTGTTATTATTTTATCACTATAAGTGGTTGGTTGAATGTGGTTATGGAGATCATATGTACCATGATAATCTCCTAAGTATGGGGTAAAAATTTTGAGAACTATGAGGATCCTATTGATAGACAATTTTCCTACATCAGTAAAAGGTTTGAGCATTGTGGATTAGATCAAATAAAGTATAATTATATTTTAATAGTTTACACACAATGATAAGTTTTGTTATTGGTAATTTTGCGCGAAAAATTACCAATAACAAAACTTATCATTGTGTGTAAACTATTAAAATATAATTATACTTTATTTAATTTTCCTACAGTAACAATTTAGTGAATAGAACTCAGATGAAATCTGTGAGATCAGACACATTGGTATGAGTCATTTTATTGATCTGATCCCTACTACCTAACATTCATTTAACGCTTAACCCTCCTAACCGTTCTCAGTAACTTCTTCTTAAGGTATTCCATAATTTACGAATAGCTGCTGAATGATTTTAATCTTCCTTAATTTTCAAGGTATGTGCGGTCAACCAGTTGGTGTGAAATTGTATCATATGGTTGATTTAAACGGAACATTTCCGTTTAGCTGGCGTAGAGAGAAAAGGAATCATTATCTTTTCAATGGCGTAACCTGGAAAGTGAATATCTTAGTTTAGTTCAACCAGAAAAACACTCCAAAGATTCAAAAAATACTACAACTACACCAGCAACTTACGATTATCTTCATGATCCAGGTGTAAGAGTCGATATTAATTGTATTTATTCTTTTGTTCTTCATGCTTTTATTATGCTTTTTTTTATATATTTACTCTTTTCATTACTAATTCACTAGAAGGATTAACGGCTTAGTTGAGTATTTATCTATTTTAAGATACATTTGAATACTGTCTCCTCAATCATCAGCTGACTTACACAATCTCTATGTAATTATAAAAAAAGGGAGCTTACAAGCTTTAAAAGTAATAGAGAATAGATTAGTGTAAGAAGAAACCTATTAGATGCAGACGTCATTTAAATTAAATGTAGCGCTTTTTATTAGATCATTCATAAAACAGTTTTGTTTGATTTTGATAAAAATCTATTCGATTCAGGAAGAAGTCAGAAATGACAAATATATTTCTTCAGGGTCACAACCCAACAACAGATACTTGTTTCGCAGTGTATACTTATAATAACCGTTTCTAGTGGTTACTAACAGTCTGGTAGAAAAGGCGCGAAAGACAGGACTCCATGCCAATATACAGAAAACAGAGGTTATGAAGAAAGCCGACAAAGTAATAACAAACGCCAGTCACTATAATTGTGAGAAATATGAAGGAATTCTTAGTTGACTGACACTTACCACCTTTTAACTGAATATGCCACTGCGTATAAACATATAAACTTTTCAAGACTTTGGTTTTAGAGACTTGGTTTGTCTAAAGTTTGGTCGCAGATTGATGTCAGTTAGACAGCTATTGAAAACCAAGGAGTATTTGACATCGGGTTCGTCCTACTTTGGTGTTCTTCAGTAGTATGTGCCAACTGGAGTTCGAACCCAAAGCCTTCAGGTCACATGGCTAGCTCGGTCGCCATTCAGCCCCTAAGACTCAATGAAATGGCTCATGAATTACAACTTCTACCAATTCGTGATTTTAGATCAACCACCAGCCAATGTCATCAGAGAGTATTTGTCCTCACACCTGATCTCGTGGACCCCATTGGTCACCTATTCTCAATAAAACTCCAGTGAGTAAGTACTGATGAAGAGTCCCGAACTAGGACGAAACAGCTGTCCAGTACTCCCAGGTTTTCCAGTGGTTCTCTAACCAATGTCAGCTCATGATGAAATCCTGTAACCAATATTCTAAAGTAATTAGTTCTTTTCCCCTGGAATAGACAAGAATGTAAGGGAACTTAATCTAACCAAGCGAAATTAAGTTTACTGGTAATAATATTTGAGAAGTCTAATTTGTCAACATATCCTAAACAAAGATCAAAAATAACAAGTACATTTTTTTAAATTTCATCTACTATATTTGCAATTGTTTAATGCTGATTAATTTAATAAACGTCAGTGTTATTTAGTTGACAGTGGATAGCAGTGGAATTCAGGATGCTCATTTCGTCTTATTTGGGACTTGTCAGCATCTCCAGTAAGTTATAATGCCAACAGGAATCTCAGTTCAGCATTATCAACCAACGGGAAATACAAACTAAATCATGCAAATAAAAACTGATACCTGCTGAACGAGAGGTGACTGTCGGGGCATAGTAGCCTAGTGGATAAGATTTTGGCATTTGAAACGATAGGTACTGGGTTCCGGTCATTGTGGAACATTGAGGATGAGTTCAAGACTGGACGAAATATGCATCCCGCATTGTACTGATAGTCATTATGATCCAAATAGCATCATGCTTAACTTTAGACATCTCTGAAGCATCCACATAAGGTGGTGACATGTCAACGAATGTCAAGCATCCAGTCCGATATAATCAATAAACATGGAATACAGATTAACTTAAATAAACATCATTGCTCATTTCTATAGAAATTCAAATATAGATTCAAAAGTAATCTAGTTTTAATTCCTCCCTTAACACCCTAAAGAATTAAGGAATTCAGATAACACTATAAGACGAAATAATGCAAAGTATACAAGTGGAACTTTCAACTTTACCTTCATGCTTTTACTTTTTATCAAGGATTGCTGAAATAATAAATGCTGATAGCATACTGAAATAATTGCAAATATTAAGTTTAATGGTAGTCTAAATAACTAATACTTTCTAATGTTTCTTCACAGTGAAACATTGTATATTTGTGACTACTGTCGCAGTGAATCCTGTGACAGTTTGACACTAATGATTGGATGCAAGTGTAAAACTTAGAAATTGTGATAAAGTACAGTTACATTTCATATCAGTCTATTTAACATACAACAGAAAGATACAGTATTACTTGTAATACGTATTTTAGACACTATTTTATTTGGTTACGTGAATGATAACTCATGTGACTTACAGGATGACTGTAGTCAGGTGTCTGCTTAGTATCTGAAATGAAATTTCGATCATTTCACTTCATCGTTCCATATAAAAGAGCTAAAGTTCGTACTTATTGTGGTCATCCAGAAATAAAGAGTTGCATCCGTGCTTCAGTGACACAAGGCTTACCAGATACACAGGAGGTCCGTGTACGACTCCCAACCGACGCACTCCTATGTCTCACCTAACTGGCAGTACATTTGGAAAAGAAGAACTGCTGTACATGAGATTAACAACCTAAGTCCGTAACAACAATAACACCACCACAGGAACTTCAGAGCTTGAAGGCCTATGCTCCACTCAGAAGGCATGGGATGATGCAAACAATATAGGACAAAGCATCACGTAACTGTACATGCTCTTTTTTATAATTTGCTTAAACTGATTAATCAGATTACTTCCATTACTTCCATAAAGTCCCCTCTGAATATTGTAGAACTGAACACTGTTCATAAATGACAAGTTTTAAAGGGATTATCTCCGTTTACTTTACAAAATATCTTAATTTTGATAAAGTCATTTAATTCTTGTCTTGGTAAATAACAATTTCATTTGTGTGTGATAATTTCCTCTCCCCTTCTTTCCTTTTTTTATTTTGAAATCAAAAGGATTTACTCAGTGATCATTTAATTAGTCTTCATTATATTCGACCACTCTACATGTATTTACTTGAATTTATGCTGTACCACCTAAGACCAATTCAACAGATGGAGTATTTAAATTTAAAAGAACATGAATGACCACTTGTTATGTACATAAAATTTCAATTATCCCAATGAAATTAAACTTGGTTCCTTAAATTAACACAGTTTAATAATTGATATTTGTATCTAATTTCAAAGAAAAATATAAAGAATTATTAGAGTCACAGCCATATTCATTGTTTTAATGAAACAAGATGTTTTTATAAACTTCATATCGTGTTTACGTTGATATATTGAAAATATGGATAATTTCTCTGAATTCTAAACAATATTAATTTTGATTGTTTATTGATTTATAGTTTTTTTCGTGTTCTGTATAAATGCAAACCGTCAGCTGAGACGTAGACAGAGAAATAATCATACAGAAATAGACCGGACGTGATTCAACGTTTCGTTTTTTTTTACAGTAGGGCTTATACTGAAATGTTCACTCAAGAAAATGATGCTTGAAATGTTTTGGTGTAAATAATTTATGTATGACGATAGATGGTGAATTCAGAAAGTTAATTTTAACTCCAGAAATTTTTCTATGAACTTTTTTAAGTCAAAAGAATGGATACTCTTTTCGACAAATTCATCATCAGGCTCTACATTTATACATTATATACGACTACAATCCATGGGCGATATACCAAGCGAGATAATTGCGAAGAAATTAAGAAAATCAGTTCAGAGAACTTCTAATGCTGGCGAACTACACGTATTATTCTCCACACGACCGATAGTGATTCCTCGACTGAAAGATGAAGTACCTAGAATAGCCAGCCACTTCTAATTTTATCTACCAATTCAACTGCGCTTGTGAGGCAAGTTATATTAGCCGTTGCTCTAGGAGCTTGATTTTTCGTGTTCGAGAACATCTCCCAGCATGGCTGAGTGAGGGTGTAGTGAAAACTATTAACAGCTCGATATTGGAACATCTGGTGCCAGTGTAGATGAATCCTTCTCTATATTATACCGGATGCCAAATAAATTACTAAAAACATTGAAGCACCGCAGGCTCCAAATAGCAGAGGCTATTGCGACTCGCCTCAAACAACCAACGCTCTGTATCCAAAAGAAGCAAGTCCAGCCCCTACTATTGCCCTGGCTTTCAGTAGAAACTATAAACTCATGAATTCGTACTATTATCTTTCCTAATTCTTCTGACACTCAGCTTATTTTATGTTGATGTGATTCAGCTGTAATCTATCAATATTATTGATTCAATGTTATTTAAACAACATTAATGTCGTTCATTACACTAAATTATTGATTCAATATAATGTATGTATAAATGTAGAGCCTGATGATGAATTTATCGACAAGAGTACTCTTTGTTCAGTATCCATTCTTTTGAAAATTTTAACAGGCATTTTTTAAGTTAGTTTAATTTTGCAGGTAGGCTTTTAATGACCAATTATTCTCTTTGTGATTACTCTTACCAGAACACAGATTAGTGAATAAAGAACATTCTCCACTATCAGTTACCTCAAAATGTTGATCACAGGACGACTTATTATCCTGAAAGTTCACTTACTAATTCATATGTATATCAGAAAACTTGTAACGACCAGAACTGATATGTTGTCTTCTGAACGTAAGAAACCGTTCTTTGCGTTCTGTTGTATAAGTGGTCGAAATTTCTCTAAGTTACTCATAGTCACGAAATGCCCTAACGACTGCAAAGTACAGTTGTTTGCAATAAAATCTGCCCTATTCAACAATGAAGATAGGGGGCTATACAGATCAAACATTTTCCCAAGAGAACTAACCAAAGCACTGAGACGGTGCAACTAACATTATAATCATGAATAAATTATGCTTACCAAAGTGTTATCATATTAAACGAGATTTCCGGGAAGTTTTAGGTTAGGTGTGAGAAACAATCAGGTTTAGATTAAGTAAATCATAGGGTTAAATTAGAGATGATTTTGAGTCAGGGTTAGGTTAAGTAAAGATTAGGGTTAGGGCTAGAAGACCCAGATGAATTACTGTATGAATGTGGTTTATTTATTTATTTATTTACTCTATTGGCACTTCAATCCACAATTGAGGAGCATTTTGTCACACACTATGAAAAGGATTCTGTGTAAATGTTTCATGTTTTTTTCTGATTTTATGGCGTTCAAGGTGATTTTTCCGCTTCCGCATTTTGGTGCCTAAAGTTTAACTTCGTCGCTTCTCAAGCACTGAGAATTAGGAAGAATATGGCCAGAGTAAAGAATAGATACTAAAGAAAAATGACCTTGAAACAACCAATCAGATCGTTCATCATTCAAAATGGATGCGGTTCATGAACTTCGTTGCAAGTTTCACTCAGATTTAGTTTTTGACTTCTGTGTGGAAAATGGGTTGATAGGGAGGTCTAAACCTGCATATTTGGAGGGATAATGGTAATTTTTTAGATGCTTTCTTCTCCAAATCGAAACTGTCGCTTAGTAAAATACTGTGTATATGTCACACCTGGCTAATAAAGCGACCACTATCTGCTACAGCAGCAGAAACGGAGAATACAAAGATTTCAGCAGTTCAGTGGTATCAGTACTGCCGTGATGTCGCATCACAAAAGATGAATGGGATCACCTCTGCACTCGGGGAAGTTGGCGTCATCGTGCATATTGACGAAACTGTACTTATCAAGCGAAAAATGAATCGAGGGAGAAGTAGAGTAAATCATATTTGGGTGCTGGGACTTTACGACACAAATCTTCGTAAAGGCTTTGTGAAACGCATCCCGAATAGAAGTGTTGATGTGTTAATACCAATTATACAACAACTAGTCCTCCCAGGAACTATCATTCACACGGACGAGTGGAGAGGTTGTTCTCAATTATCATCCCTAGGCTATATTCACCACGAAGTCAACCATTCTTCTGAAATGGTGGATCCTGTAACAGGAACACATACAAATTCCATTGAAGGATTTTGGGCTCATCTCAAAAAACGTATCAGAATGGTAAACGGTTCCCGAAGTGATATCGTATATAGCGATTTAGATGAGTTTTGTATCGACATTGGTTTAATATGTCTATAAACACTCCTACGAGAAACTGGGACCAGCTTTTGCAGCATATTAGAGACATTTATCCTGTATAATTCATTTTTATTACATATATATGTTATAAATACAGTTTTTTTTTATTAATTTTACGCCAATTTATAACTGAAAGTATCTGATTGGTTGCATCAAGGTCACTTTTCTTTGGTGTATATTCCTTACTGTTGCCAAGATTATCCCCGACAAGGTGGGATCAAAGGTCTGTCGGCAAGAATCACACACCAAACCATTCTGGAAGGCAGGTCGAGGCCAGAACGAACTTGAGTCACTTAAACATAACAGTGGTCGCAAAATAACACCTTATCAGGATCATCATACAATCAAAAACAGAAGCATCAGAATTAAAGATTGAAGAGGAACAAATATAAATTGTAGGGATTAATTCAACAGGTGATACGCAAATGTTGGGACAGTGAATACAGCCTAGGAAAAAAGGAAAATAACTACAAAGTTAGTTGGAACATCTGAATAAGTGTGAGTAATGTAATTAAACCACCCATGAAAGATTTTCCGAACAGTTATTCAGTTACAAAACTTCGACTAAGGCTGATTCTATAAAGTTTCTGAATAACTGAAGTTCTCTTCAGATGCGGAATCAAGAAGGAAGTAGGTGTGTATATAAACAAGACCATTTATCAACAGCATTCTGGAAAACTAGTATTTTGGTCGTTGACCTTTTTTTCTAACTTTAGAGATAACTAATATCCTAATTGGTGGTACTAACCGTCGATTAAATTTCAGAAAGCAGGAAATCATCAGAACTGACGCGAAATAAAACTGAGCCAGAAATATTCATTTTTCTCATTTCATGAAGATTTAGCTACAATTTTGAGCGACCATCATGAGTTATAAGGACAAAACATAAAGGTATTGGCAAGATATACATTTTTCTGGCAAAACTGTGCACGTCTAATGGTCACAGTTCATGGAAAAACACAGTTGAAGTATTTCATTGTTTAAACTTAAGCCGTTTATCGTAAATATGACTACACATCATGAATAATATAAAATATTCATCTAAATCTCATTTTTAGATAATGTGGATTTTGACTTAATGTGTCTCTTGCATGGAACATAATCGTAATTTGCTTTTAGAATGATTATTAATAGTGCGTTGGATAATTTTTCCCTTCAAAGCCTGCTTTATAGTTTAGGGGTGACGTCACCATTTTTACGAAGAGTATTTATGCGCTGTTAACATTCCAGAGTCCATATATTAGCCCTAACTGTACGCCTATAAAACTAATCCATGTATGTAAATCACACGTTTACAGAAACTAATTTACATATTCTTGTGGAATATTTGCCGTTGTATTATTGAACATTGCTTTTCGTTTGTTACATATATATCTCATAGAAAATTAACGTTGTAACATTTAGAAAATCAAAAAAAGTGATTCAGCGAAGAGACTGTTTTCAACGAATTTATCATCAAGCTGTACAGTGGTATATATGGTTTTTAAGAAGTTATATCCGGTGAGGGAATTGAATCTTAGGTGTGAATGCATAAAATATTAATAATAATACCAATAATATGGAGTGCAATTATAACTAAACTTATAAAAATTATATTTGTCTAAATTATTTATTATATTTTTATTTATTTTGACCACTTCATCTTTAATTTACGTGTTACCCTAGTAAAATTAATTTATTCTATCCATTTCTACCTTTTAAATATGTATTGATTTTCTTCGTTAACTATTAACCCATTGACATTTTGACACTGTTTAATTATTGTTAACAAACTTATCGCCACTTGATTGGCAAACTGTTGTATTGTAATTAAATTGCTATATATATTAGAGTAGAGCCAGAGATGAGGATCTAATTGAGAAGTAAATATTTCTTCGCTCAATCTTTCTGTTTTCTAAAATGTTTGTGATTATACTCATAGTTAAATGTCAAGTGGCAAAAAACAAATTAATGTCATATATAGAATAATTCATAGGATGGATAGAACTTGAAAAAGGCTGTGCAATTATAGGATTAGTAG